TAGTTTAGAGTTAGTTTAGTTAGAGTTTAGAGATTTGATTAGATAAAAAAATGGGTGAATTCCGTTTGAACCTGATTGCTTGGAGGTACAGGGTCTTGGTTGAGATAAAAGAGTGTCACGAGTGGAATTCGAACCCACAACCTTCAGCTAAATACGCCGCTGATCGACCACATGAGCTATCGTGACTTCGAACCTTTCAGACACCAACTCTCCAACTCAACCTACAACCGTTCCCTCTTTTTGCCATTTTCAAATGTCGTGTAATCGGATTAGATTCTTAGCGACTTATGAAGTGGCCACGGGGAGCTGTGTCGTAAAGGGTAATTCTTTTACTTTTTTTAAATGTTAATCTATTTGCGTTTTCGTACTCAATTGACCAAGTTATTCTCTCCATCAATTAATTATTTTTTCTAAGGTCTTTATGTTACCTTTCTTTGAAGGAATCTAATAAAAAAGGATTGTTTGACTGCATTCCACATTCTCGCATACTTCAATGACATAACCTTATCCATTTACGTTTTAGAATGGAATCCTGACTATACGACATTTGAAAATGCCAAAAAGAGGGAAAATTCGATCGGTTGTAGGTTGAAATGGAGAGATGGTGTACGAGAGGATCAGAGTCACGATAGCTCAAGTGGCAGCTTAATAAGCAACGGCGTATATAGCCGAAGGTACGTGGGTTCGAATCCCGCTCGTGAAACAGACTTTTTTATCTCAACCAAGACGTTACATCAACGAAACCTATAATATTGTTGAAGTTGCAGTATATAATAATAATCATGGGAATTTACTAGTTTTCGTTGTCCGCTTGACCAATCAATATCTTTCAATTAATTAAGGTTTTTAGTTGAGATAAAAAAGTCAGTGTCACGAGCGGGATTCGAACCCACCTTCGGCTAAATACGCCGTTGCTCTACCACTTGAGCTCGTGACTTCGATCCACTCGGACACCAACTTACAACCTCAACCCACCTTTTTGAATTTTTTATTTGACATTTTCCAAATGTCGTGTAATCTATTTGATTCTCGGCGGCAAATGAAATGGTTACGGAGAGCTTTAGTGAAGTACACTTCATTTTGCCTATTAAATCGATTAGGTTCCGTAGCTATTTCATTTTTTTCAATTTTCCATATTTTCGCAATTTTCAAATATCGTGTTTCAGGATTGGATTCTCAGTAACTTATGAAGTCGCCACGGGGAGTTGTTCGTGAAGGGATACTTCTTTTACCTATTAAATATTAATCCATTTATGTTTTAGTGGTCAATTGACCAAGTTACTTCTTTCAATTAATTATTCTTTTTATGTAAGGTCTTTTTTATCTCAACCAAGAGATGAGAAAATGTGATTGTTTTTACGTTTATGGAATGTGGTAGGTCTAAGGTAAAGAGGATAAAAGTCAAGTACCAAAACACTACCTTTAAATATTTTTTCGTGAAGGACGTAATATTATTGCTTCTGATACTGGCTCCAAAAGTCGTAAAACTTTTGAGTAGCTATTTCGACAGCATTCAATTTAACTTGTAAATCCGTCGTGCCACTCAAATTCTACTACCCACTTATAGAGTAAAAGATCATTGAAAATGTAATATTCGATTGAAAAAAACTTAAAATCAAAACCTTCGATTCCTAGAAAAGGAAAAATCTTTCGTATTAAAAGCCGACCAACTTGGGGAATTTGCTAGCCAGGAAAAATGGATAGAAAGAGGCACGAGTTGATAAATATGTATGAAGTGTTGGGGTGTCAACGGGCAGAGGTGTATGGAGCGGCCGATACGGAAAGAGTTATAGCGAAGGGCGTTGCTGTTGCAGAAGGGTGAGGGATGGAGGTGAGTTGTACTTTTATAGCACCCCGAGTCCGATAAGAGAAACACAAGGGAGAAGGCCAGCTTCTCAGGAAACTTTTCGTTTGGGGATTTAAGAAATATCACCCCGCCGTGCCAGGAATAATTCGACGAGTTGCACTTGCAAATACTCATCAAAAAGAAAAAGAGATTGGAAATACCCTTGCTTCCCCTTTTCTGATAGTGTAACGTTTCAATAATATGTTTTGTTCCTATTTTTTTTAATCCTACTGTTTAAAATTACCGACAAAGCTGCAAGGGGTAAAAGTGTGATTTCCCATTCCTTACTAAATTGGGCATTATTACATATAAAAAAAATTTCTATGCATAGTAGCATTGCTCATTTTTAAATTTTATTAGTATGTATATAATAATGTAACAACTTCACTTTCTTTAAGAAATTATTTACCTATTAGGCTAAGATATAAAAGACCAACATAATACCCTAATTGTAGAAATAATGAATAGAAATAATAAAGGCGGGGTGAGTATGTCGTATCATAATCTACAAAAAGTGAAAAAATGCCCTAAGACTGAAGAATAAAAAAAAACACTTAGCATTGTTTTATTACAACTTTAAAATAATGAAAGACGCGAAAAAGTTTACTGCAAATTTCTAAAAACAATGTCGGCAGGAATGACTGCGAGAATGAATGTTCATGTACTCAAAAAGTATAATTCGGTCTCCAACACCATTCGATGGTATTGGGAAGAAATCCTGCCCTGCGGAAAACTTTCTGAGAAGTAAACGGTCAATTCTATCAGCCATTGCTTCCAACTTGGCCAACTAGTACCTATCGAGGAAAAGTGACCTTAGTGAATAGAAATGGCGTCGTTTCCCTCCATGACAACTTAGGATCTTCTTTTTCCACCACGACTCGGGGAAAGTTGTAACACTTGAGATGGAATTCTACCTACTGCCTCAATCCCGCCATCCATTTGCTTTAACATAACCGTCTTTCTAAGTCAAAGCAGAATTATTTAAACCTAATACTTTCGGATCGTTGAAACAAGTTTAACGTAAAAAGCGAGAAAGAAAGAAAAATTGCAAGAAGTTTTTGTTCAAAAGCCATTTAAGGACTTCAGTCAGCCAAAGTGTACCATGCGCCTCTACAAATAACACATAATTAATCCAATTTAAAATTAACAGACTAATTAAACATAAGGACATATTTACTTATCTTTTATAATCCAAGTGTAATTTATAAAAATATTATCTTAAATTAATAATATTATTTTGAGATTATTTTATTTCATATAGGAAGACAACCAAAATACACTTTTAATAAAATGTTTCTTTATTTATATATTAATGTGGTAATAAGGAAAACAAGACATGTATAGGTATGGTACATTTAGGATTTAAAAGATTTACATCAAGGACTAAAAGATTACAGATTTTAAAAACAAAATTCAATCTATAATACCACCTATAAAACCAAATATAGACTGTATAAAAAATAGTGTAGTGTATAAGGTCGTTTGTTCGTGGAGAACAACGCATGTAGGAAAACTATCAATATATCATGTTTAATGAATAGATTAAATCGACGTAAAAGAAATGTCGTTAATAAGAAAGATTGTACAAGTTTGTTCAAACATATAATGAGACGAACCACACAGTAGATTGCGAAAAACTTAAAGTAATAGAAAAATAAAGTAACAGTGCAAACGAAAGTGGTTGAAAATAACTACATAAATTTAGAAGAATTAATGTAACAATGTACATAAAAATAAAAATAATGTAAGTTCTCAATACTTAATTAAGGCTTTAAGTCAAGGTCGATCAAGCGGACTACGAAAAATAGTGAAGTTCTCAATACTGTAAAAGAAATAAAATGTTAAAAAAGGACACGTTGAGAAAATTGGTTTTGATTGTTGTTTTCTATCAAATATACTATAAAATCAATATAAAAACAGCAATTTATTGGATTACTTATTCATGCTAGACCATAAAATTAAGCTTACCTTTTTTGGAAGAGTTTTTACTTCTTTTATCTTTTGAGATCGTCCTGCAAAGCCTAAAGAATTAGGGTTGATAATTTAAGCTCTGAATTAGTTGTATTAAAAAACAGTCGGTCAAAAGTTTAAAATCCTTTTTACCTTCAGGGTTCAAAATAATTATTCAGAAATCGAGAGGTGCGGTCTGGTGTAATGTAGGTTTCAGAAAATCATTTTCCTTATCGTGCCAACGTTTCAATCTTTAATGAGATCATCTTCAGGGCTCAAAGTGTTCATCTTCTGTGTTATTGAGATGGCACTCTCAACACGACACGCAATAATGGCACAATTACACAGAAGACAAACACTTTGAGCTCTGAAGATGATGTCAATAAAGATCGAAAGGTTGCCACGATAAAGAAAATGTTTTTCTGAAACCTACATCACACCAGACCGCACCTCACGATTTCTGAATAATTATCGATTAACGGTCACTAATCACCACACAGCTCAAAATAATACTGGATAGAATAAAAAATCAACACGTTTTACATTGTAGTTTGACTGTTTCCGATCACTTTGGACAACCCGCTTTCGCTGTCTTTATTAGAACGTTTGGTACCCAGCTTCAGCCTGGTTATATCCTTGGATAATCAATAATTCAATACAAGCCCACTTCTATAGATAAAAGGAAGCTGAAACGCGTCTGAGAAATGAAAGTAGCGAGGATGGACAAATCAATATGAACGGAAACGACTAAACTTCATGTTGGGTAGTCCATCAACCCTCAGACCCAATGACAAAATATCACAATTAGTATAAAGATTGTGAATATTCAGTCAGAACGTTGTACTTGAGTTATTGATTATAATTAACAAAGATTCGATAGGGATAAACACGGAAAGCACTGTGATAAATAAATCTAGCTACTTCAATTTGTCTGACCCTTTTGAAATCGAACGGATTGACAGAAAAGAAACGACAGTGGCCTGCAGAATGGCCGGACCCGCCACTCTGCTTAGATTCGAATTCAATTACGAACAGAGAGTGAATGAGAAAGAAAAGCTTATGTAGTATAAGGGGTTGGCGGAGGTGAAAAGGCCTTCCTTCCCCACAAGGGAGTTGCTATTCGTCGACGGCCGACCCCTGATTGAACTGTTCTCCAATAGTGAAAATGAATGACGCTGATTTTTTATATATTTTTGTTTTTCAGGGGAGTGTGAAGAGGAAAAAACCGATGGCCTCATCGGTACCAACACGAACAAAGTGAAGATCAGAGTCAGCAGGGGTGACTTAGGAATCGACTACCAATGCCGAGCTCTTCATCCAACGATCGCAGGCTACATCTCAAAAGAGTTCCAGTTCGAAGTCAACGGTGAGTTTATTATTACATGCACTATTTATCAAATTAACCTTTCATATTTTCCACTTCCTCCGTTTAAGAGCAAATATTGTACAAAATATATCTAAATTTTCGCCCGTCGAGAATTAACGTCATGCCGTAACAGAATAGATTTAATTGCGAATATTAAACACCGGGCTTAGAAGGGTTATAGATTAACTAGTTAATCTAGGGTGAAATTTGGGCATGGAGTGGGAACTGACTATCACGGGTAAGCACGCACGGGTCGACAAAGAGGAATTTCCCAATATCAAGATAATTATTTTGAGGGTGGTTTATAGCATTGCCTCACCTCGCTTTTCATAATCACATTCATACGAAGCCAACGATCCAAATTGAATCCGATCATCTGTCAGGAAACAATTGTTATTAGCAATTATATTAAGTTTGTTCAACTATTCACAAAAAGGTTTTCGGTTTGGGACAATACGTACTGCGCATGTTTGAATCTTTACAAAATATTTCCGGGTCTTCAATGTTTAATTAAAATAATCCATGAATTTTTAAAAATTATTTTACAGTACATTTAAATACAATATTACAAAGGTAACCACTTTTTTCTATTACATTCTATCTAATTTGATAGCAATGTTGTTTTCTATATCGGTAGTAAAACATTGTGTAATAACCTTCCTTTGATTTATTCTTTAAAACATTTTATATTCACATATATTTTTACATTAGTTAAATAAATATTAATAAAAAAACGTTGTCAATTTAATTCTACAAATGTTTTTTTTTAAATACTCATTTGGTCTCCCAGTTGCTTGTTGCTTCAATACTTCTTATTACTTCAAAATGCTACATTTCGATTGATTAGAGATAAAAAATTTATTTTAATATATTGGGCTACTGATTATAAGATTCTCAGTTGTAACAAGCTTGCAATGCAAATGTTTATAGTTATACAAACGCAATTTTTGACTTGCCCAACTTCTGATACTACAAAATCAGAATTTGAATAAATTAGTATATAAACAAAATTCAAGTTAGGAATAATATTTACTTTTATTTTTTTGGTGGTTTAATATTATTCTAGTTAAAGAGTTAAGTTGTTCTAGTTAAATTAAGATCACGATTTAAAATCTTGTAAATCTCCAAGTAAATAATAATTCTTGGAACCCATTTCTATTTTCTTATGTTCAATTTTGTTTGCTTTGTTTACTTTTTATAAATTTCATTATTTTTTAATAGAATGTTTGCAACCAACAAAATCATTTATAAACTTTAAATTGGTGATCACTGGCTTTTCAGGAATTAAGAACAAGTATTTATAGCGAATTTATAATTTTCCTAAAGCGCCGTACTAGTCAATATTTAAAGAACCAACAATATTTTACTTAAACTTTAAATAAGAATTTTGGAAACATGAGAAAGTTTATCTTCTAAGTGATTGTGAATTCTAAAAGTTGCCATAAATATAAAAAATCAATCTCATAAAGTTTTCTGTTCTTTATATTGGTATAATCAAAAATGCAGAATTAATATTTAAGGAGATACGGAGAACTATATGGAACAGAGTGATGAAAGGGACGTAACCTGAAAAGTGAAATATCTCAAATAAAATCAAGAATAGAGACTACTTTTTAGTTCAATTTGACATGCAGAATAACCTGCAGAAGCATTTTTGTCTGTATTTTACACATGTATATTATGTACTGTATATATTATTACGTCATTTTAAAAATTATCGTCCCATATCAAAATTATAAAAGTAAATTTAGGGGCGTCGGTGGCCACAACGGTTTAGGCGTTGACACGGCGCTCATCACTCGCTATCTAAAGACCCAAAAATTAATTATTTTCATAACTGATAAATTATTAATTTGCCTAACTTTATTACTTACTGTTTTGAGTGGAAAAAACGGATTGCAACTGAATATATTTTATTTTATATTGAATCTCCAACTTCTTTATACAAAAAAAATAAAATTTTTGCTATTTTAATATAAAATGGACGTATACATAGTTTGGTTTAAGCTACATGTAGCATTGTTGCTGATATTATTGTTAAGTTTTATTTTCGTAATATCTTACAGTGTTTATTAAATATGCTCTTTTCTTCACCATCCGTAAAAACACGAGATGTTTTTCTAAATGACTAAAAAAACAACATTACATAATGTTCATAATGGTACTGGTAATTTCATATTACACATATTAACATTTCAATTACATATGAAAGCAGAAACGTTACCATCCAAATACTAAGAACGTAAAATTTCTCCAGATTTAATTATTGTTATTATTTTACTCGTAAAGTACTGACAAAATGTAACGGATAATTACGTTTTAATAAAAGGACGGGGATATAATTATTTGCATACGAGCAATTGCCATCTAGGGCTCCTCCAATGTTATTTATTTAGTCGTATAATAATGTCAACATCGTCTGTAACCCTATACAAAATGTTTCAATGCGAATATTAATTTTTTTGTTTTTCAAAATATATGATTTGGATGTATATGATTAATTTAAGCATGGTTTGTAGTTTTTTCCAGTACTGGATATTTTAGTTTTGTTTAGTCGTGCAGCCTCGATTTTTCCCAGTTTTAGGAATTTTCTGAAAATTTACCAAAAGATAGCTTTTCTATTTCCTTACATCCACCACGTCCTAGTAACTATATTTAGTCACATTACCGTGAATCGCCCGCAGTTTGAGAAGTTAAGCCTCATGTTAGTTTCGAGTTAAGCATAAAGGCGTGGAAAGCGTTCATGGCTGGCTGAACGTCAGGTGGAATATACATTGTTTTGGAAAGTCTGGTCGTAGATTTGCTCTGGACTTCAGGCATTTACCTCATTTCCGCCTGTAAAATTGTCCATACAACACACGAAAGTTTGCGCCCTAATTTATATTTTTCTTTTAGATTAATCTACACCAAGATTAGTGATCGTGATGGATTATATATAACGTATATTCCTTTATAGCTTGTAGTATATAGCTGTGTACCTTTGTTGTATTACTTGTAACTACTTCCCGTCAAATTTTTCCCCTATGGAAATATTATTGAATCTGAAATAGTGAATAGATAGTATTCAGCAGCACTGGCTAATTTCAATCAGTTTAATAAGTCTGTAAAGAAAATGATATAGTGACCTTTTTGAAGGTACCCTAGAGACAATTAATCTTAGTATTTGTTAAATCGGTGTTATTTTGGTTATCAATTGTATAGATGAAACTATTAGTTTTGTTCAGAACGATAGATATGCCAATAGGCATTTCTTAACTCACCATGTTGTATGTTACGTCCACATTTGCATATCTTTCGACAAATTGGATTGTTTCTTTTATACTCCAACATAGTTGGTCAAAACTAACATATGCTTTAACATGTTTCATTTTAGATTGATCTGACCAGAATGATTGTCAAAACGTTTTACGCAACAGCACCAAATTAATACAAACTATTTCTCTAAATTAATTTGCTTTCTTTATGTGATGGTATGTTAAAAAAGTGTCACCATTGCAAGAACTAGGAATCATTAAATTCAGAATACATATATTACCTTTTCAAATAGAAAGCACAATAAAATATCCGATCGTAATTTGACCAAGTCGAGTAATAGAACAGGAGAATTCATCCTCATTCCTATTCGTAGAAGTTTTCCCAGAAAAGAGATGCTTGCCATCGTTTAAATGTCGCAAACCGCACATGGTCGCAAATTTGTAAAATCTTAGATTAGGACCGGGATGGAAGGAATACGGCTCAGATTGACACGTGACAAATCGAGAATCTAGAGTAATGTGTTCAAATCCGTCAGCCGGATTTGGGGCGGTTAACAACCATGAATTCATCTCATTCCACTGTTCATGTGACGGCTCGTTATAGGCAAAACGTTATTCCACCGGCAATTTATCAGTGGCATGATTCCGGCAGTCGCACGACCAAGAATAAGTGAAATCCCGACTTGGATTTCTTTTCTATGAACATATTTATCCCAAACTTAAATATGCGAACACAAAGAATTTAGTGTTAACTAATCACGAATTGTTGTTGTTGAATTCCTGGTTCTTTAAGATTTAAACTTTAGATCATTTCTTTTACTTTTTCTACCAAAACCTTTTTCCTATTTCAAAAATATACACGAACAAAATTAAATAAAACTACGAATAAACAAATAATTTTAAAAAATAAACAACTTTTTGTTGAGTTTTAAGTGTAATAATGATATTTTATATTTTTTATATTAGACATGTTCTTTTGATTATAGAAAATGTACAAACATCTTATATTTAATTAAAATGACTTGTTTGAAAATTAATCAAATATAAGTCTTATAAGGTATCTAACAGATGCTGTCTTTCATTTCCCTACAGTTCCGAATACATAAACATTCTGGAGAAGATCCCAGTTTCCCCAAGCCGGCTCAGGCTTATCTTTCAGGATAATCTTGAATTAAAATTTATCGGTTTGTATTAGCATTTCTAGTGAATAAACCTTACAAAGCGCCTTGAAACGTTTTTCGACCTGATATCGTCTATCGCTTATTTAGCGTAACACAAAGCGAAAGAGGCTAATATAAAATTAAGAACAATTACATAGACAAGAGCGATTTAAGATTTTTTATACCTCTCATCCCTAATTGGAGGGTAGATATACTTTTATCTGACTACGTCTTTCAAAATGACGACCCCATTTGGAGAGGTAGGACCCCGAGATGAAGTTGTGGTCGGGTTCATTAGGTAATGGGTCCCTCCTTCCATCGGATTATTGTCTTAAGATGTTGACATCAAATATTCATGACCTTAGCCTGTTGTGCAGAAGGGCGGCCTTAAGGGCCTTATCTACTAATGAAATCTTGATTGTCTTTCATCCAATAAGACAGGAGCTCTAATGCTCTACGTGTCTTGTTTACCTTGAGCCAACGCTGAGAAAATCTCCTAATTAAAAGTGTCCGAAGACCCGTGAAACCCTTAGTCACCAGGTTGCCGCCGTTTCATTTTCCTAATGATGAGCACCCTGGGAAACAT